GACATGAAATGTACACTTTCCCGACTCATTTTTTAACTCATCAACCCCCGTGAGACTCTCATGTATAAAAAATTTGCGACACTCCTTGCAGTAATCCATGCGCTCTTCCATCGATATGAGAAGGCTCTTAATCAACCTGAAGTCAGCCTCATTATCGTAGAACATGACACAGTACAATTCCTTCTTGCCGCTGCAAGGTTCCAACACAATATCGATCCCGTATCGATACCGTTGTGTGGTCACCAGGAATATAAACCCCAGCTGCTCCAATTCCTTCTGTGGAAGCTCTGCGACCTTGAACAGATCGATGATATCGGTGGTGATGACCAGAGGATCATTTTTTCTACTGATGTGGCCAAACAACTTCTCCAAATTCATCTTTTCTCTCTTTGTATCATCGCACACGATGTTCACCGTGATTATCTTGTTCGAACGCAACTTGTCACCAAAGAGATGGTTGGCAAGAGATTTCTTTACATGCTCGAGAATACATGATGGGAACGAGTTATTCTGAGCATAGAAAACCAGACAGCTTAACTCATCTCTGGGACATCGTTCGCTCTTGATTTTACATCTGCAGTAATTGTTAATTTTTACGATAGCTTTCTTTTTGTTATTTCTATTATTTTGGTTGAACGGATATGGAACCCTTCTTACTGTGCTCTGAGGCAGCAATTTTTGGAATGCTTTTCCAGTGTTGTACTCTGGCCTTTTCTCCCTTACACGAGTCTGCATCTTAACATTCACGATGAAGCAACTCTGAATTTTACTAAGCCTGTATTTATTAAAAAGTATGCTTGTGTGACCTCTGAACAATGTTACACTATAACTCGCTTCGCTCGCAGCAAAAGTTTGAGTGTGAAAATTTTTATTTTATCCGTGGAATCGTGATTCCGACTTACAAGATAAATAGTGTTAGCAGATACAGGTTTCTCTATCAGGAAAATATGGATTTTGAAACAATTATCAAACAATTGCTCTTGCAAAACCCATGTACCAAGTATGTACCCAAGAGTGGGAAAAAGTACAACTCTCGATTGAACGAGTTCTTTGTATTTCGAACTCATATACACGGTTTGGTGAAGACTCATATGATACGAATCAAGGCAACGAACCTCTCCAAGATCGTGGGCAAGATTTGGCAAGAGATGACATATGAAGAGAAACACCCATATCGTTTGATCAAACAGAAGGCATTAGAAAGATACCAACAGGATCGAAAGATCACTGAGAAAGATTTCAGACACGAATATGTACCAAACATTAGAGAATCGCCTAGAGAGATTGAATCTGAGAAGGATATCGTGCAAGGGGAGATTGAACCAACCACCAACCAAATTTATTACTACCAGAATCCATATGTTAACCAGATTTGCATGACAAACGACCATGTAAATTATTATCTGGTACCAATGCAACCACAATAAACTTTATAATAGAATAACGTTTAGGATTTTGTAAGCTTTATTGAATAAATTTAAGAAATAAAATTTTACAACTAGTTTCGCTACGAAATTTATTTAGATTCTAACAATTTTCGAAGAATGTACTGAAGTTTTATTGTGATAAAGTCTAATCTTGAGAAAATAATATTGTTTGTTCGCTTCAGGT